CAGAACCCTCGCAGTGGGTCAGAAAGCACCGAGGCGTGATAAATCGCCGTAACAGGGGGGCTGGCTCAGTCGCTTTCTTTGAGAATAACGGTACCTTCGCAGGTTCCTGATCTCTCTTCAGAGGGTTCGGTCCCTGAGACGGCGCTTGTGGACAACGAGACTTCGACAATACCACGATGCATATCCCGTGCCGCCTCAGCGCCAGGCAAACGGCAGTGCGAGATGAAGCGGACCATGTTCCGAGAGGTAAACGGTACCTCCAGCTTGCCTCTCTCGCTCTCTTTGTAAGCTTCCTCTCACCAGCCGACCTACTAAGAGATGGTGGTTGCCCCTTCCCTGTGCCTGGCTCCACAAGGCGCAGCCTATCAACGGAAAGACAAGCCCAACTAGGCTCGCCGCACTGTGCTGCTCTTTCCCAGTGTCGCAATTCGCCATCGCCGTAATAAAGTCAGGAAAGAAAGGTATGGTATGCCGGGAGACCAACTGCGGACTAAGGTGTGCCCTGCGACCCTGATGTGAGTCTTTGGTTGTGAGTGGCCGTGGTGGCATTTGGCAAGATGGTGTATGTAGAGTATGTGCCTCGTTCCAGCTAGATACCTTAGCGCCCCCAACCCACCCTTGCTGCTGAGGTAGCGCCCCTAGTAGCGTAGCGTAGTGTAGCATAGTGCAAATTGCCAGCGATATGAATAATGGCTCGATGTAAGGCAAGCCAATTACGGAGCAGGTACTCTCTTATACTGTGCGGGTGCAGGTTGGCACCGTACTCTCCTCGAGCCGCCCAATCTTAGGTACCCCATTGCTGAACAAACCAGCGAGGAAGGAGGTACCTTTAGCTTGAGCTCTCGTAGTAAGTTGAGGTAGGCACGATGCACGTATGCCTATTATAGAAGAAGGCGCCTTCCAACATGTCTGTCTCGACTTCGACCTCACTTCGCAGAAATAGAATGAGGCCTCTCCCGGGTGATAAGAGCGAGCCCATCGAAGCCTTCCTGTAGTCCATGTACCCGCCTGGTCCTGGGGCTGGTACTAGCCCTGGCCCTGGACACAGAATACAGCACAGAATACAGGTTACAGGATACAGGACAGTGCCAGGGCCAGTGGGTGGCTCCGGGGTGGTAAGGGTACCATACCTGGCCATAGCGCGCCCACCCCCCAGCACAGCTTACCTTACCTTAGTAGAGTACAGGGAGTCCGTTCGCCCGCCCACCGGCCGGGGGTGCCTTCTTCAGTGACTCCAATCGCCTTCATTTCTCATTTCCCTCGCTCCTGCCTGCTTGAATGTGCACATCGCCCGCTCCTGCTCTGCTTGCCTTCCCCGTTCGTCTGTCTTCCAAGCTCCGTGAGCAATTGCAATTGCTTCATAGTCAGCGATCATTGCTAGCCATAACAACAGGAAGAGAGCGCCTGCCAATTTGAGAATTCAATTCACGCCCGCTCCTGCCTTTGTACAAGTCGTGCCTTCCCTGCCCAAGGACTTACTAGCATGCAACAGTCGGCTACTGCACCGCCGCCGTCGACGCAGTCCGTTTCCCCTCCGTCGCTCCATCTCGCTCACTAAAAGCAAAGCCAATTTCTGCCATAGTAGGAGCACCTTCACCCCGCCATCCCGCCTCCTGCTTGCTTGCTTGCTTGCTTGCTTCTCCTCCCCACCAACACCACCACCACCACCACCAGCCGTCGCTGCCGCTTCCTCGTCAAAGCATTCTCCAACAGCACAAACTTCTCAGCGAGCCGCCAAGGACAGAGTCGTCGGGAAGAGAGAAGGCTCCGAAGCAGAATCACAGACGAAACACACGAGCGAGCTGGCCTGCTACGATCTTTCTCCGGACCATGACTGTGTCGAACGACGCTGCACCGAAAGTCGAACCTCACGCCGTACCCATCGCAATGTCCAATTCTGCTGCTTCAACCACGGTCGCCGGAGGCGCTCCTCCCCCGAGCGACGATACCGGTGAGCGTTATCCTTTGCTTGCGCCGGCCGTCCCTTTATCTCGCTTTCGGTCTCGTGGCTACTTTCTGTTTCACAGCTCGCTCTCACTGGCTTCTCCTTCCAGCTTCTGCTGGACCACACTCTCTCCCCTTCCGGCATTTCCTACCAGTGAGCTAACATATGCTTCTAAGGCTCCACCATCACGGTGAACACCAAGGCACCCGCCAATTTCCCTCCGCCCAAGACAGACAAGCCTCGTCCACACGTTTGCGGCACTTGCCAGCGTTCGTTTGCCCGCCTCGAGCACTTGAAGCGTCACGAACGGTCCCATACTAAGGAGAAGCCGTTCGAGTGTCCCGAATGCACCAGGTGCTTTGCTCGCCGGGATCTCCTCTTGCGTCATCAGCAGAAGCTTCATCAGACAACCACACCGTCGTCTCGTCCCCGAAATCGCCGAGAGAGCGCCAGCAGTGCGGCGCCTGGCGTAAGTCGTGCTCGGAAGAACAGTGTCGCAGGCGCCAATGCCTCGGCGGCTGGTTCCGCCTCCATGCGGCCGCGAGCCAACACCATCAGTCACGTCGACGGGTCCGCCATGCAGATGATGGCCGCTGCAAATGCGTCGGTAGCTCGCGGTATGCCTCAGACGCATAGCCGGCACCCTAGTCTCATTGGTCTTCCTATGCACAATATGGATCATGCATATGCCAGCATGTCCGCTGCTTTGGGACAAAGGGGGATGAATCACGGTCTGCCCAAGCTCGAAACGCACGGAATCAACCTGGACTTCACTGGTGGTCTGCGTACCGCCCCGCCAATGGCCGTTTTTAGTCCCGAATTTGACTTCGAAGGCATGCTGTTTGGGCCTGGGAACACAATCAATCCCAATGCTTTGCATTATAGCGATTCGCCCCAGTCGATGGCCATTGATCCCACCTCGCCTTTCTCTCACGGCTTGGCGGATATGTCTGCCAGCCAGCAACTGGATGATAGCTTCGATTGGTTGACTGGTTTCGAGCACCAGATGTCTTTCAACGCCCCCAATGACAATGCTGTTGATGGCTCCTCCCCCTCGGCGATCAGCACTACCAGTCAAAGCGGTATCAGTGATGTGATGGTTGACGGATCAAATCATCCGGCCTCCACTGCTGCTGCCACATCGTCTATATGGCAGCCTGCAATCATGGGACCTCCGCAAATGACGAATCCTTTCTCTCTTGATCTGAACGGATCTGTCTTTCCGGACTTGATGCACGGTGCACCTGTCTCGCCTCAGCCTCCACCTCAGAAGAGTCTTGGAGATGCCTACTTTTCAACACCACCGCCATCGCTCAGCTCTCTGAGCCCTTCGGTCATGCCTGGTCTCAACACCCAGAATATGAACCACGCACTCAACTTTGGTGCCGGCCCTGAAACGCCGACCTCGATGAATGGTAGTAATCATGGCACCTCACCCGTCTCGACTATCACTGATTCCACAAGAAACGCCATCCTAGGTGCCTTATCGTCCGCAGCTTCCCAGTCCTCACCTTTCGGCGGACGAAAGCACTCCTTCACGATGCCAGCGTCCCCCCTGTCACCACATGGTCAAGCCTCCGTCAACGGCATCTCGGACCATGCCAACAATCTACCGAGTACACAGGATCTCCAGCGATACGTCGGTGCCTATCTTCGTTTTTTCCACCCCCACTTACCTTTTTTGCATATTCCTACCTTATCGTTTGAGATCCCCGCCCAGCCAGTACACAGCACTGGAAGTACCGTCGGAGGCCCCGCCTGCCTAATACTTTCGATGGCAGCCATCGGTTCGTTGTACGAGATGGAACATGACCGCTCCAAGGAGTTATTTGAGATGGCGAAGAAGATGATTCAGACTTACCTTGAGCAGCGAAGGAAGGCCAACGTCAGAAAGGCCGGCTTCCGGCAAACTCCCATGTCAGACCAAAACTCACAGCAAGAAAACTCCGTCGACACACCTGTATGGCTGGTTCAAGCGATGCTTTTGAACGTCGTCTATGGCCACAACTGCGGAGAAAAGCGTGCTAGCGAAATTGCCTCTACGCATTGTGCTGCCCTGGTAAGCCTGGCCCAAGGAGCTGATTTGTTGCGTCCAACTAGATCCAATGGGTCCGGAGACCAGGACACCAAAATGGGCGATGTTGAGGATCTCTGGAACACTGGATCCAAACCGGAATCCGAAGAAGTAGCCGAGTGGCTGCGGTGGAAGACTATGGAGGAGCGAAAACGGACTCTTTACGTCGTATTCATTCTCTCCAGCCTGTTGGTCTCCGCTTATAACCACACCCCGGCTCTCACCAATTCCGAGATCCTCCTGGACTTGCCATGCGACGAGGAGTTCTTCTCAGCGGACAGTGCGGCGGCTTTCTTTGCCAAAGGCGGAGTGATTACAGCGAATCATAATCGCATGACTTTCCATGAGGCTTTAGGGGAGTTGCTACGGACAAACGAGAAGCAGCAAAAGCTCGCCTTAAGTAATGGCCAACAGCCCTTTGGATCGACAGTGAATCCCAATGAGCTTCCTCACAGTAACCTGAAACCCAGCACTTTCGGCTGTTTGATTCTGATTAATGCATTGCATAACTACATCTGGGAAACCCGCCAGCGTCATCACAATAAGGTTTGGACAAATGAAGAGACGGAAAAAATGCACCGGCACATTGAACCTGCTTTGAAAGCTTGGCAGGCTGCGTGGGCGAGCAACCCGCACCATAAGATTGAGCGCCCAAATCCCTTTGGTATGGGCCCGTTGTCTGCTGACGCTATTCCATTGTTGGATCTGGCATATGTTCGTTTGTTCGTCAATCTCTCTAGGTCTAAAGAAAAGTTCTGGCAGCGTGACTGGGATGGTATGGCAGAGGAACTCTCGAGAGGTAGCGAAATCGTGCAGCATGCCGAGCACTCGCCTTCCTCGAACACAGATTCCGCAATAACTGATCCATCTGAGGCGTCTGGCACTAACTCTGTGTTTATTGAATCGCCGCCAACACAAAACTCCTCACCTGAGTTTGCGTCAAGGTTCTCGTCTGCCAATCCATCCCAGCCGCAATCCCAGATGTCAAACCGGGCGACATCTCGACGAGAGAAGCATCTCCGCAAAGCCGCTTTCTATGCCGCAGATTCGTTGTCCATGGCTGATAAGCTCGGAATCACATTTGCCGATTTCACCAGCCGTGAGCTGCCTCTCCAGTCGGCTATGTGTGCATTCGATTGTGCTCAGGTCCTAGCTGAGTGGGTTGCAACATTACAGGACCGAGTCGGCCGCTACCTCGGGATCCTGGGGCAGGATGATGTGGATCTTTCCCAAGTACCCGCTATTATGCTTTTGGAGGATGAAGATGTCAAGCTCTTGCACAAGATTCAAGACGTTCTAAATGGTGCCGAAGTGAAGATGAACATGGAACTCGTTGCCGGCGTCGCAGGAATGGATGCGCGCTTGCAAATCGGCGAAGTCACCGGCTATGCAGCCAAGATACTCAGGGTCACAGCCTATATGCTCAATAAGGCTGCTGTGTGGCCTGGTATGTTGTTATGAAATTGTTCTGCCGAAGCTTCACTAACAATCATCTAGTTACGCATCTAATGGCTCAATGCCTTGAGACTCATGCAAACCACATGAGGGCGCGTGCCGAGAAATCGGTGATATCTTGCGAATGATGCGCGAGCCAGCCTCGTCAAAGCTTCTAGGGCGTAAATTTGTCCAATTTCATTTCGCGCATGACCTCCATTCAAGAGCTGGGATGGCGGACTCTCACATCCTACCAACAGCCAGGCGAAGGCATCGACCATCTCACTTTCAATCACTATTTATGAACAGGATACCCAAACCGTGAGGTGGACCTTCTCCATTCATACACGCGGAGTCTTCCGTGTCAATATATATGTTCGGCGACCGCTCTTCACGATTTATGATCATTTTCACAGCCGGCGGCCTATTCTACTTCAATTTCAGATACACACAAAATGGGCACTCTTGTCCTACCAGTGCAATATTTTGATTTTGGGAAAGGCGATTTACAATGTGTGGATGCTATTCTTTGCGAAATGTCACTCCGGCGATATCTTTGGCGTTCTTTTTTGACAACAATCGGATTCATGGGCCGCACATCTATGAGATGACCTTTTCTAACGGCTTCAAACACTGGATCTTGTTTTTAAACCTTGAAAATTGTCCATGATCTACGACTCCTGGAAGCAATGGTTCAGACGACTGTCGATATAAGTTTCTCCACATGACCAAAGAAGCTAATTCTTGGTAAATTCTCATGTGGCATTTACATTTATGAGGTCGGTCAGTTGTACCACCGTCTTCGAGAACGAACGGTCCTTGATCAAGAGGCTGTAAAACTACGAATTCAAAAACCTTGTAGGCGGAATAGGAGGGTGGGGTGGATACTCTTCGATGACCATGGTGCCATGCTACCGTCAATTTTACTGGTGAGGCGGGCTCTTTGGCTAGCCTGCAGAGGGGATCCTTTTTTAAGATGCTTGGGGTGGGAATGATTGCTCATCTATGGCGCACAATCACTTGGCTGGCTCACGGTGATCTCCAGAGTCAAGGAAATGGATGGCTGGTTGACTGGACAAAAGTGAACTTGGACAGTGCAGCTCTGTACTTATGGGTTATGAACAAAAGCGACGACTAAAATCAATGGAGATATGACCTCAATGGTGGACATCTTTGCCCTCTCCATTTGTGACGTGCTTATGGTTGTCCCCTCCAGTAGAGGTTGCCGGTGAGTGAAACCTCTCAATGATCGATTTGTGAAGTCATATCCGTCCAGATTGTCATTGGCAGCACATGGGATGTTCTCGAACCCACCCAGGAGTGACCATGCAAGATTCAGCGTGCTCCGATAAGCATGGGAACATATAAATAGTGCCCTACCATGCTATCAATGACGATATTCACCGTGGGCCAATCTGAGCCTAGTGCGTAGGCAATCAAACCATTATATCTGGAGAATGCGATCTCTCTTCAAAAGCCTGTACCTTGGTTGAGTTTCGCACTTAGTGTGGTTGAGTTGTTGCATGTATTCCTCTTTTGCCAGGATTGCTCTTTTGAATATAAGTGATAACGCTTGCAGCAAGCCTATCTGAGTGCAATGTTTCGTTCAACTAAGAATGCAACTGGCGTAGAGATCCATTGATGATAGATAGATAGATAGACAGGAGGCCGAGCACAGGAGAGGTCATCCTCAGTTAGTCCTTGTTGTTAATATCTGGTCTGTGAGAGGTTGGCGAGGTTTAGGGCAGTTCTGAGGTCCTCCGCCGCGAGGGCGCTAAACCCTCTTCAGTTCGCGCGCGCGACGGGCGACGACTTTACCTCTGCGGGGCATTCTGAGCAGGCCGTCAGCTTCTACTGGGCTACCTACGTAGGCACCTTAACGAGCACTGGCGGCGGGTGGGCTGTTCTTTGCCATGATGATGATTGGGGCGTTGCGAGAGGAATTGATTTCTCATTGCTTATGAAATCACAGCTTAAACGCAGCCAGGCATGCTAGACGGCCGCCGGGACGGTTACCTGGGCAAGCATACGTACATGCTGGACTAAAAGCGAAGTCTACTTGTCAAGGTGGGCAGGTAGAGAAGGTCCCGTCTGTGGACTATCGCTTGACTCGCCCCGTCGTCTTGCGGCGAGCGAGCTGGCCTCGGCACGCCCGCGAGTTGGGTGGCCATCCGGAGCGCGAGATCCTTGTCTTCCATATCTGACAAGACCTCCCTGTTCTTTGCTCCCCCTTGGACATGCTCACTCACTTATAACAACGTCCTGCACGCGGAGCATCCTCTTGCTTCGTCCGCGTCACTGAACTTCGATTGCCCATGCGTAGCATAGCCTCGCGACTGACGATCTTGCTCTGTACGCCGAGCCACGGCCTTGCGCTTCGAAGTTCTATCTCGAGACCCGACATCTGCCCCGTTCGGCCTGCACAGCTGCTGCACCGGAGCACCTGCCCGGCCCCCTTCTTCACCCGCCTGCCGCATATCGCCGCCATGTCATCTGCAGCCCAGAGCCAACCGGAGCCTGTCCCTGAGGCGGCCGGCCCTGAGCCTCCCGCCCCCGTGCCCGGCCCCGATGCCAAAAAGGTCATAGATGAATGCGAGAAGCAGAAAGCAGAGAAGAAGGAGGATGCCCAGCCTGAACCAAACGCGGAGGGCACTGCGTCGGCTTCGGAGCCCAAGCTTCCCCCTCTGTCACCCGCTGAGTTCAAGACCTACAATCGCCTTGCACAGCAGATGGATTACTTCGTAAGTCACGACTCTTGTATTTTCTGACACCGTCTGTCATGGCATGGTGGCCAATGGCTCGTATGCTAACGAGCCCCTCTGCCTTCAGCACGAACACTTCCGACGATCCTGGAACCTCCTATACAACGCTTGCTCCTCCGGCCGGCGGCCAGCCAACATGTCGCTCAAGCAGTTCATCGACGAGGGCTTGCACTTCACCCAGTACCTGACGGCGCACCACAACATCGAGGAGACGTACCTGTTTCCCCTGCTGGCGCGCAAGATGCCCGAGTTCAAGAGCGGGCCGGGCAAGGGCGCCGCCGAGCTCCTGCGCCAGCATCGGGAGATCCATGCCGGCATGGATGTCTTTGAAGACTACCTGCGGCGGTGCCGCAACCGCGAGACCGAGCTCGAGATGAGCGTGCTAAAGGAGAAGATGGAGACCTGGGGTGCTGTCTTGTGGAAGCACCTCGACCAGGAGGTCAAAACGCTCGGCGCCGAAAACATGCGCAAGTACTGGAGTATAGAGGAGGTGCGGTCTCTCCCGATATAAGATGTAGCTGCTGCATATCGAGGTTTTGGACGTATTAGTTCCGTTCAGGAAACACGTTACGTGGATCTCTCCTTGTCGGAGTTTGTATAGGCTTAGCGGGCACGTTTTCGTGTGTCGTTCTCAAAGCCTTGAATGACGTGATTTGACTTGATCGGATCGGATAAGGAAATGGTAGGTGCCATGTTGCATTTTGTTATGTCGATAGGAGAAAGCTGTTGGGACAGGTATTTGCAATATACTACGATAGCCACCAACAAAGATGAAGAGAAAGAACGAAGTCATTAATAGAATTTGCTTCTCAAAAAACCCTCTAGTCCCAGAAAGCCTCAGAGCCTATGACCAACTCCTGTCCAGAAATACAGTAGACTCCATCCAAAGAATCAGAGAAAACTCCCTGCTAGGTGGACGCGTTTTGCGCATCGGCCTTTAGCCCCGAATAGCGTATGAACAAGTGATCTATGAAGTGAGAATGCCGGATGCCGTTTGGCCGCGCTTTTGCAAATGCGTCAATGGCTTCCTGGACGCCGAACCCGCAGCGCTCAATGAGATAGCAGACCACGAAGTACCCCGTGCGATTGAAGCCGTAGTGGCAGTGGACACCTACCAGGTAATCCTCATCCCATCCCTCTTCCTCGGCTCGCCTCTTCTGGTCTTCTCGCACGCGGTCCACAAGCACAATAAACGAGTCCACCTCGGTGTCGGTCGGAGGGATCTTGGAGACTGTTGGGAATTTGTGATACTTCACGCCCCCTTTCTCGAGACTTCGGGGGTCGTACACAGGGTTGTCGTGCGAGATATCGATGATGTCTTTGATGACCCCGCCCCAGTTCTTGACAAACTCCTTCGGCGAGTGCGTCTCGTCCGTCTCGCGCATGGTCTTCATCGCTCGGAAGACGCCAGCAATGGGCTCGGAGACCGGCGCAACTTTCTGCCATTTTGCGAGGTTCTTGACATCCCATTTGCCTTCTCGGGATAGGTATTGGAGTTGCCAGCCCAGTGACAGCCGACCCGTGATATGAGCCCCCAGAAAGTCCGACACTAGGCCAGCCAGTATACGCACAGTTGCGGGCATGTATAGCAGAGCATGAGTAGCCGGTGGCGGGAGCACGATAGCCTTGACTATCTTGTGAGGGTGTGATGGCTGAGGCGGGATCGCGCTTGGTGTCTCCTGCGGCGTGGACGGATCTTCGTGCGTGTCATCGTTGGTGACCAGCTTTTTGGCACGCTGGAAGTCCTCATCCGTAAGCTCTTCAATCGTAATAGGCCTTCTCTCGCGGGTGTCCACTGTTGTATCGACCGGGGCAGCTGCATCGACGACCGGTTGGTGAGTATCGGATGACTCGGCGTCTGAAACGGACCTGCTCGAATCCAAAAATCCAATAATCTTGTCCACCTCTTTCGGAGAAGTGACATTGTCGTTCGCTCCTGCAACGAGGAAGATGGGAATGTTGAGCGATGCCCAAACCTCTCTACCAGGCAAGCCCCCTTTGGGGACACCATTCTCGTAGACAGGAAGACTGCCCCAGGCCATCCGTCTCCAGACCGGCGTCTTGCTTTGGTTGTTGAAGCGATGCTGCAGTCGTTTAGACTCGAGGTCCGCATCCGCACCGACAAATCTCTTAACACTGGCGCTTTCGACGCCTCCACGTCTATCCCAAGCGCGCCATAAGTCAAAGATCGGAGTGGGGATCCAGAGGAACTTCCTGAACAAGGAGACTTGCTGTTCGGTCGGAGGTCCAGAAGGTGGGCATATAGCGATCAAACCAGTCACGTAGCTGGCCAGATCCGTGGTATGGGGAGCGGACTTGCTGGCGAGGCGTGCGGCAAATGCACAGCCCATGCTATGGCCGATGAAGACGACACCTTGGCTTGCATTCTTGTCCCTGTACGCATTAATGATGACCTCTAGAAGCTCTGCTAGGGCATCTGTAGAGTACGCCTCCCACTGGGTAGGTGCGAACTGGGAAACTCCGCATCCTGGTAAGTCGATAGCCAAGCAAGGGGCGATGTTAGTAAGGCTGGTGAGCAGAGGGTGAAACTGTGCTATGGAGCCACCGAGCCCATGAACGAAGACCAGCAGCGGGAGGGGAGCCGGTGAGGTTGGTAGCTGCTGCGCTTGAGGGTGCTCCTTGTAGAAGACGCGGACTCCAGGATATGTAAAGCGACTGGTCTGAAATGACTTTATCTCAGAATGCTTTTGGAGCAGCGGAGGATCGGTAGCTTTGGCATCTGCTGAGTGTCTCAGTGATAAGTCAAGACTGGCATTGAGCAGTTCAGACAGACCGTAAGCCTCGGCTTGGTGAGAGCGTTTGGCCTGCTGTCGGGCACTCTCTGATTCAGTTGGCGAGGCCGTCTTATCGGCCTGCCTCTGGGCCATTCGCTGTGACTCCCTGACTGTCAACCAAGAGAGCAATAGAAAAGACGCGCTGAGCTGGCGACGAAGCGGTTATAGATGATCTATCTTTGGCGTTTCTAACTGAGTTGAGGGTGTGAACATGCGGTCATACCCACGACAAGCAGACGATGATACAGTCAAAAGGGCAAGGCTGAATTAACATTCCGAAGCCCCTTTCTTCAAGTCCAGGTGGATATGATTGATGAGGCCCAAGGGAGTCACAGAGAGCCTGATGTGGAGAGACGACAAGGGTCCTGAAAGGGCTGGGTACAAATCGACGAAGAAAGACGTACCGGAAGGACAATACTGAGTAGCTAGGTGACTATACGCTTGATGAATGTAGGGCAACCGTTGTTTGAATGAGGTCGGATTCGGCGTCTGAATGGCCTATCTCGGCCCTTGCCGCGTAAACAAATGCCAGTAGCTGAGAGTGTCAATTGCACGTCCAGCCGTCGCCGGTTGTCGGTCAAGCTATCGAGGGATCCTTCAGGGTGTTGGCGCAGCAAGGTCCACCAACTTTCACTGCCCGCCCAAGAGCTTGCTCTGTTGGTCAACCGGAAGCTTGGATCCGAGACCTCTTCACTATTGCTAAATCCAAGATTCGCTCTTCAAGAGTTCACGAGAGCAGGCAGCTGAGAGGCAAGACCAGGAGGAAGAAGAGAGGAGCAACAACTCAATCCGGCAATGCCATTCAATTGAGCAGGGAGAAGTAAAGAGTCCTGAAGTTTTAGCCTTCTGGGTGGCCTGCAACTGACTGCTGCACGGCTGGGCTGGGCTGGGCTGGGGCGGGCGGGCTTGTGTCATAGCTCCTCCCGGTGCCGCCGTACCGGTGCACCATTGAATCGTCATATCGCTTCAACGTGCTGCGGGGCACCCAAAACAATTGGGCACGTTTTACGCAGGTATTGAAGTGCAAGACATGCATGCCCGGCATGGGATCATATACCCTTGACTCTGAACACATCTCGGCATACCAGTTCTCATCAAACTGCGGAAATGCTCGGCTCAGGAAGGGGAAAAGATAGCTACCCTCTAAGCTCTTTACATGTGACTGCCGTGGGCAAATGTCTACGTCTTGGGTATTCGAGATATGAGAAGGGCTGGAACGCAAGATCCATGTCGCCCATTCTCCTCCTTCCTGTGAGGCAAGCAAATACAGAGTGAGTTTGGGTGACAGATCGGATGACGTCCATAAAAAAGGTAAAGGGAGGACTGAAGCATGGATGTTGGAAATGTTCCAACGAAGACTGTTTGTTCATATGCCCAGAAGTCTCTAATATCATACAACATCCCGCTACTCTGGCGAGCCTAATCACTCTTATACATTCAAAATAAGTCTTCACAAGAAACTCCTGGAGTGCCCTTGCCGAAGAGTACTCTAAGAGTGACATCTTGCCGTGATACTGTCTCCTCTGCTATGTTGTTATATAGCACCAAGACCTTCCCGCCAACCAATGGGTATCAATGCAGCTGCGACATCGTCCACTCCTCTTTCTGTCGCAAGCATGTTGAACTGTGAAGCGCCATTCCTTGTGTCCAAAACCTCGACTCGTAATCCTAGGCTGCTGATGTCCTTCCTCATTTGTGGACTGATGGGTCGCATCTCCGGGCCAAGCCCCAGTATCAATAGGTCTGCACAGACTAGATGTCAGCGATTGCTTCCGAGAGATACGGACACTGAGTAATTGCTTCTCCAGGGGACATAAAAGACTCACCAGGCCTCGGCCAGACCAGGCCCAGGAGTGCCAGCGCCTCGCCCGGGACTTCCCATTGCCCCTTCGCGTTGACCAGCTTCTTGTCCGGGCCCCACGGCCGCCAGGCGAATGCCTCGCCGTTGACGAGCAGCACCCCGCTGCCATCAAGTATCTTGATCCCATTGTTCAGCTGGAAGCCTTCCGACATGCAGATGTCGACGGAGGTGGAGGGGACGGGTGTTTCGCCGAGTATGTCCATTCGGCTGAAGTCGGTCGTCGGCGCTTCTTGGGGCACTTCCTCGTTGTTGTGGGCCAAGCGTTTACTCCTCGACGTCGATGTGTTGATTGCGCGTCGAGAGAGTACAGCTGTGGGCGTCGAAGCTGCTGATAATATCGCTGGCTTGCCATGGCAAGCTGAGTGGAAGCTTCGGCTTGCGGTGCAGGAGCTTTGCGATGAGGCTCTAGCGGCATGAGGTGCGCGCGCAAATCTGCAAAGAGCGCCGAAAGCTCTGGAATGGCTTAGTGGAGTGGCCATTATGACATATATGATGTTGCTACAAACGATATACGCATTGTGTGTTGATCGGGGGTGTGTGAGGTAGGAGCTTGCTGGGAAACGCAAGAATTGGCTAAGAAATGGCTGGAGCTAGGTGCTGTCCCGCACTTCGTCATCTACAGGTCACATATTGGAGCGAACGTCACAACAAAACCACCTTCCCACCGGTCAGGGTTACTGAGATTATATTTGAGTCGAGACAACCGTACTTGGCGTTGTTGCTTTGGGTTTCCGTCTTGTCTGTGAATATGGATTGTAGCGCCTAAGTCGATAAGAAGCACAGCATTTTAGTGTTTTTACGTTTTGTATATCACCAGTCACCATTCCAGCAGAGTATGGTGTTGAGTTGACGACCTGATGTTCTTTTATCATTTGCGAGCATCGAGGTGCGAAGAAAGCAGCCCTAATAACAGAAACAGCTTGCCTGCTGTTTGTATATCATGCAGCCCTTTTCCATGGTGAACACCAAAGCAATGAAGACCGTCCATCCGTCAGCCATAAACCCCCAGTTTCGTCGCCGAGCTTAACCGAGCAGTTTATTTCTTCTTCTCGCCCTGGCTCTGCTCCTTCAGCACCTTCTTGACGATCTTCTGCTCCTCAATGAGGAAGGCGCGGACAATCCTGTCGCGCACACAGTTGCTGCATCTTGAGCCACCGTACGCACGCTGGACGGTCTTCTTGGGCTTGGAGATTCCGGCGTACTCGCGGGGTCGGAGGGCGGGAATCTGTGTAGATATAGAAGTTAGCAATCAGGGAGCCATGTGTTGGTATGTTTGACCAGTATCCATCAACAGAAGTGCGGCTAGGAACAAGATTTCATCTCGGGACAGACGACACGCAAAGGTCACAGATTGTGTGCCAGTGGGCCACGAGGCACATTCTTGCCCATTGCGGTGTCGATGGCTGTGCCCATGAAATCGTGTCGCCCTTTTGAACAATCTTCGACCAGCCCAACATTCAACATCCAACCCATCCACCCATCGCATGTCCAGCTTCGATCGGAAGAGCACTTACACCAGGGAGCTTGATGCCGCAGTCACCGCACTTGGGGGCAGTGCCTCGCTTCTTGATGTGGAGGATTCGCAGCTCGCCGCCGGGGGTCTTGATGATACGAGTCCTGTTGGACGACGTGTTGTAGCTGTTGGGGATAGAGTTAGCAGGAGTGTCGAGGGGATGACGGTTGCATGTTTCAGTATCACGGGGAGAACGTACCCGTTGCGACGGCGGTACTGTACTCGGTTGCCGGCCATTGTTGCGGATTTGCTGGGTGGTCGTCGTCGTGAGGGTTGGCTGAATCTCCAAGTTCCAAATCACGGAGGGGACGAATTTCCAATTTTGCTTGCAATTTTTGTGTGGGCTTGATTTTCTCGGGGCTAGCGCCAAAATTGGGCGGGTGAGAGTGGACGGGTCTGGTCGGCACTAGCCACAAAATTTGGAAGTGTGGCTTGACGGCCCTTACATAAGCCGTGGCTTCGTTAGCTTCATACTCACTACCTAGACTAGCATCCTGGAGCATTTCATTGACAAGCAACACCGAAGGCTAAGTTTACTAACTCGTTCCTTCACTGACTACTTAATGCTCTTTTTTGCTGGAAAATATGGGCGTGTTGAGTGACTATTCATTTTCGGTGATCGATATCACGGATTGAGATCACGAATTCCTGCTACCTTAAGTACGTACATCTAGATGTTTAAGAGCTACTCTAGTGGACATTGAGTATTCCGCCGACAGCAGAACTTTTGGAAGCCAAGCTTCCAGTTCAAGAGCCAGTGAATTGATTCGAGTCGCCATGAATAATATCAGCCTACAATTGAGGCTTTGATGTTTATGGGCTCGGTTGCTAATGACTCCCCCATCTCTTATTGCGCTTGTCTGCGAAATGTTGTGGAGGGGATGAGCCCCGACATCTTCTGGTGCCGTGCCCATGTGGACACTACTGGGAGGCGAGGATCAGCGGAGGTAGCTGTATAGATCCAGAGCCTCCACGACGCGATTGTTTACGTTCCGGGGCCCATGTAGATTGGCATACGCTTGCAGGAAATAGCTGCGTCATGCCGGATTGGGAGTGAACCAGTCAGGGTCGTCGCTGGCTCGCCAAGGCCGGATGCCTTTGGGGTTGTCGCTTCGGCTCTTTTCAGCGTATTCGAGAATCTCTTTTGTGCCATCTTCGGCCATCTTGTCCTTGAAATCGCCAACTTCGGCGAAGGCCGAATGTGTGGCCGCCTTGATTGTCTGAAACAGTATCTCCGCTGGATGTACGGTTAGCTGTGTATTCAACTTCCCCTGTTGATTTTGTCTTCTCAATCTACTTACGGGATGCTGGGTGGGCGGTAAATGGCGCAATCATGCGAGGGACGGTGGTCCTCAAGTTGCGCAGCTGTCCTACAATTAAAAACCAGAACCTAGGAATGGATTGGGTAGACAGATTCCATACCTGAATGTGCAGCTCCTTCAGCTGCCGAAGGGCAGCCTCCAATCTTTCCTCATCCCACTTCTCCTCTACCGGAGCGGCTGACGGGATCTGATCAGAGGACATGGTGAGTGTAAGTTGCTGCTGCCGCTCCACCTTCTTTGTCTGTAAGTAGGTAGGTAGGTGTTAGAGAGGTAGACAGAGTGCTGCAGGGCTGAAGGGACGTAGAGGCGTCGCTTCCTCCCTAAAGTAGGTACCTGGACAATGGCAGCCCCCGCAGACTGAGCCTCGTGCACGTGACCTTGGAGAGGGGCGGCGAGTTCCTGTCTTGGAGTCCTGCCAAATTGACTGACTCGACCCTGGCCACTGCAAACTTAGGACCGGCGCGTGCGGACAAAAGAACAACTTTATGGTGGTGCTTTTCTGCTCGCCTCTCTACCTCTCAACCTCTCTGCCATTCATACAGCCCGGGGACAGACAAAACAAGATACAGTCTGGGATCCTTTTCTCGACAAAAGCCGGCCACAGGGTACGACCTCCTCAGGCGAGGCCAGGTCAGCCAGCCCAGTCAGTACGCTGCACAGGCCCGTGGCACTTGTTCCTGCATTCCATTTTGACTGTCTCGCGTCAAGGCGACCGTGTGAGCTGCGAGCACCCCCCCTCCTGCAGAGACAGCCAATCAGCATCCCGCAAGGGCTGTTCGTCCCACCTCCAAGCACGCGCCTCGGGATTTCGGAAGAACAATGATTCGCTGGGAGGACGCCGGCAATGGGGCTGGAACTGTGCATCTTGCCCAAGACGACACCGTACGGGGCCAACCTCAATCCATGGACATCCCACCAAGAGCACTCCACGATCCATCGCAAGCCGTTGTCGCAGGATATCAAAACCCCTGGGCAACAACCTCTTCCACGCCCGCTCCGCCCCAGCATATTCCTCAACCCTCCCCTCTCGACGCTGCTTCCGCTGCCCAGCAGCAAAGGCCTACCCCGCGTCGTCAGCCCAAGAAGCGAAAACTCAACGCGGCCCAAGAGCAGCAGCAGCAGCAACAGCAACAGCAACAGCAGCAGTTAGCTGGTGTGCCTCAGACAACCGCTGACCGTCTCGTGTACTGGCCGCCTGCTCTCCCCTCTCCTGCGCCGTCTACCTCCGTTCCGACTCCTCCGCCTCCTGCCGCCCAGCACCAGCAACAAACCCCAGCGCAACAACAATTACATCAACAGTCGGAGCCACCGCGGCCATCGCCCACCGTGGCTTCTTCAACGCCAGCCCCCCCGCAGACGCCTCCGACCTGGAGTGTTCCAGGTTCAGTGAGCAACACGAGAAACTCCATTATGCCACAGTCGCCCGGCTCCGGCTTGGCGCCTCCGCCCGAGGGCATCTTCAGGACATTTGAGGACCTCCTGACCTCGGTGCAACGTGTCGCTAAGGACCAAGGCTATGGAATCGTCAAGCTACGATCAAGCAACTACCGAGAGGGCAAGCCTACCCGCTTTGATCTGGTCTGTGATCGTGGCGGAGTCAAGTACAACAGCACGGCCAAGAAACGTAACCCAACCACGCGCAAAGTTGATTGTCCTTGGCGCGGAAAGGCCGTATGTGAGGTTCAGCTGGGTATGCAGTGGCGATTTGTCGTGCAGGAGGCCAGACACAACCACGAGCCGCGTATCGCGAGCGCGCCAGCTGGAGCAGAGAATGCATCACTTGCTACGAATATGCGCAGTCTGATCAACAAGGTGGATCGCATGAACCACGAGATGACGCAAGGGCTTCATGGCGTCAATGCCCGGCTCGATATTATAGAAAAGCGACTTGATAATATCGAACAAAACCAAGCTCCCGCACGCGTAGCTATGATGGGAGGTCCCGGCGATATGGTTCAAGGTCGACTTAACAACATTGAGGCCAGAATGAATGCCATGGAGACTCGACAGAACGGCATGGAGATGCCAATGGACGATGTTGAATCCAGGTTATTGGCATCAACCGTGATGTAGGGCATTCCGATCGAGGAACAACCTATTTCTTCCCATTATCACGGCTAAAGCACAACAAAAAGCATTCTTCACTATAAGGGCGTCATCCCTCAGTTAATTCTACATTTTCTGGTGTTGGGGAACTTCAGGGACCATGGAACGGGTAACCCAAATCGCCAAAGTGTTGGCCAGCGTGGGCTTGCTGTGACCCACACTTTTTTATGAAGGATCTCACAGTCTTGGTGTTATGGCGCAAACGGCATTGTGTGTTATTGCTAGGTGTATGATTACAGCCTATCGTTTTGGCTCGGGCGTCCAACATGGCCTAGGTCGAGTGGCTTTTTCGACAGCTCTGGTGTTGCTGTCATATTGCCCATGCGTATGACTTTTGCCATACCGGAAGCTATAAAACATGTGGCTACACCGGCGTCCACATATGGTGGGCTGCCCTTGTCTGGGCTATATCGCCTGGTAGATGCTGAAATAGAAGGGTCAAACCCATTGTATATACCTCATCGCACTACCGATTTGCCTTGTATTCTGGTGACTTGCCTGTAATTCCCCAACAGTATCTATTCTTGTGTCAACAGCGACAGACCGGTTTACGGCCGGAGTAAATTGCATGAGGCAAGTCCAGCTTCGACTCGGAACGACATCACTCACAAGCAGAGAGGGAAAACTCAGATGGTTCAGATATGTCAACGATGCCTGCAGTAGACAAGTATTTTAAGGGATGCCTGCCATCAGGCTGAATTGCTAACCCTATCCGATTATCTACCAAAACCGAACCCATGCGATAGCGAAAATAGCAGAACTGACAACAGTCTATCCCCGCACCGCGCCGCCAAGCACACCTCCCGTAAACTGTGTGCCTCCGGCCTGGCGCGGTCCGGTTCCGCCAGTCCTGATTCCGCCACGGCCAGTCCGCTGTCCACCTCCGCGGCCTCGTCCTCCACGTCCTCCTTGCCTCTCAAACGCATTGCTGGATCCCTGGGTCCGCTGCTCAAGCGTCCGCTCGTTCGTCTCGATTAGCGAGCTGGCCTTATCGGACAAGGTGAGGGCCAAGCTCTGCAGGCGGCTCAGCTCAACGCCCTTGCGGAAGATGACGGCGCCTGTGACTTGGTCGAGGGCAGCGGCCAGCTCCTCATGGCTGATCATCTTGCTGACGACGGCAGCAACCTTTCGGGGCTCTAGCTCGAACATTGAGCTGAGAGTCTCGACGGCAAGGGTGTCGTAGAATGGTGCGTAGGTGAAGAGATATGTGCGCAGTCCCTCCTCCTGGATCTGCTTGGCGAGCATGGTCTTGATGCTCTCAGTGTTCGGCATCAGCTCCCAGATCTTGATGGCGTGGATAAAGTTGGTGGCCTTTTTCCACTCGCCGGCCGCCAGGGCCTTGGACGCCTGCATGACATGGTCTCGTGTGTTCTCAGGCGGACCAGTGAAGATCTGTCTCTCGTGATACTCCAACATGCGGCGATAGGTCTTGCTGATGACTCTCTTCTTGACGTCTGGTGATGAGCCGGTTTGAGCAAGCAGAGGTATCTCCAGAAGCATGCTGCAGGTGAGGTAGACACACTCGAGAAGCTCGAGGTTGATGTGCATGTGGAAGGGCAGCTGTCGCTGTCTCTCCAACCTCTCTTGTTCAGGGGAGACTTGGCTGTATCTCTGAATCATCACACCTTGAGCGAGAAGCTCCTTTTGACGGCCACTGCCGCAGATCTCCTGAAGGGTGTTCTGGGCATCATAAACCAGCCCCTTGCGGAAGGCGCATAGGCCAACTTGCACAAGCGTGCGGTTGTACAGGATCTGGCTCTGGACATCGAAGCTGCCAATAGTCTCCTGCAGATGGGACATCAGCATCATGTCTCGGGACTTGTAGTACTCGTCATGAAGGGCCAAGAAGTAGATCTGGCACAGCATAGCACGGGCGCGCAGGATACCGTCGCTGTTGGCAAAGAGGTAGTTGCAGAGGATGTTGAGAAGCTGAGTGGCATCTCCGGTATCATTTCGTGGTGTGATGGCGGAGTCAACCTCTGCGGACACCTGATTCCAGCAGCTCTCCTCCAGAATCTTCACAACTTGGGAAGGCTGTGATGAATGTCAGTCAGGTAACCCATAAGCCAGAAGTGCAAGATAGACGGACCTTGAAGTAGACATGCTCTAGTCGCCGCATGACAATTCTGTTCAAGCTGTCTTGCGGGATATCTAGTGAGGTGTCCTTCTTGAGTGTCTCGTAGTAGAGAAGGCCGCGGAAGATAATGTTGTACAGAGAGCTTTCGTCCGTCAGGCGCTCGATATACTCTGAGGTGTGAGGGTCGATGTTTTGGAGTGATCGGGTAAGTTCATCATCCAGACGCTCAATATATGAGACTACGCTGCCAGGAATCTTGATGTAGGTCTGATCCTTCTCGAGAGTGGGTGGTTTGTCGTCATCTTCCCACTCCTCGGCGTTCTCAATGACGATATATTCCCGGTTCTTATCTAAAACAGTGAAAAGAAGCGATAGCTCCTTCTCAGCTGACTTCCAGTGATCGAGAGGCATCGAGGTGGCGCCGGAGGAGCCAAGATCGAAACGGGCAGAGACGAGGGTGAGCAGGACACGAATCTGCTGGTAGGGGGTTACAGCAATCTCGTTAAGCTTCTCCATGATCTTGATCTGCTCTTGACGATCTGTGTTCTTCTTGCCACGAGACTCCATGATAGTCCTAAGATGTTTGAAGATGCTCTCGGGAGTGAACTGTAGTGTCCTTCCACCCTTGCCAACCGTGGCGAACCCTTCGTCGTCGAAGTCGGCTGCCTCTGAAGCAAAATCAACGGACTTGACCTTCTTAGGCTTCGGAGCCGGCTCCTCCTCCTCATCAGACTCCATGAACGCATCCTTGTCAGCTCTGTAAGCATCGATCTGGTCCTGGTAATCCTTGTTGTTCTTCTTGATTCGTTGCTTGACTGCGTTCAGGCCGCGTGCATTGGTGGCATTCATCTTCTTCGGTGTGACCTTTTGCTTCGCGAGGGTCTCGTTCATGAAGTCCTCAAGCTCGGCAATACATTTGATGTAGTCCTTAGGAGCCTTGCCGCCGATGCGCAGTTTCTCAACTTGCCTGTTGAGTTTGTCGAACTCTACAAAAACATCAGTATTCCTACTCAAATCCTTTGTTCCCGCAAGGAAAACTAACCCGTCGAAATCGAACCCCAGTCGTTAATCTTCTGGCCATTTTGAATGGTGGTGATGGTAGCCTCGAGTTCATCGAATCGCTTGTCTTTGGCACTTTTGACCTTGGTCGTGACCTCGGTGTCGCTCTCCTCGCTCTCAGAAGACTCGTCCATGAAGAAACGCGCACCACCTTGTTTCTTGGCATCTTCATCGTCTACTTCCTCGTCAGAACCCTCTTCGGACTCATCTTCCTCCTCAGATTCCTCTTCCTGGCCCTGCTCCTCCTCTTCCTCCTCCTCTTCGGAGTAAAGCTCCTCCTCGTCGGAGCTGCTCTCGGACGAGCTATCGTCACCGCCGCGGAAGAATCGAGACATGTTGACGGCTCGTTCACAAATGGGTCAAGTGGTGGTAGTAGAAAGGCGAGGGTCACGGCAGAAGTTGCGTGTCGTGGTTTAGCCTGCCGCGATTGATGGCGATGTCCTTTCGCTGGAGGGGTTCTCGAGTTTAAAAATTGATGAATTTTGGTGGGGGATTTCCAGGTTGTGTTTAGTGGGGCTCAGCAGGCAGGAAAAGCGGTCGGACCGGCACAGCTGCGAGTCAAAGTAAGGAGCTGCTGCCTCCTAATCCTGAATCTTAAACTGCAGAGGAGAGATATTTGAGCCAAACTCACAGATTACACGAGGTCAATCCAACAAGAGCTCGAAATAATTCTTTGTGATCAAGTTTTCTTGGGTGAAAACGCTGCACAGCAGATCTATAGAAGTAGCGAGAGTGATTCAGCGTGAGCTGGCACAACTGTCCGCCAGCTGGCAGGTTGCCCAGATGCTGGTGGTAAGCACGTGACAAAGCTAGGCTCAGTGTGACTTAGCTGCAGCTGCAAGTCCATCGCGTCTCGATCTCGAAAAAATCTCCAAGCAAGACAAGGCAAGGGAAGTCGAGCTGTCTAACTCGTCACCTCCCATCAACGAGGCCATCGCTGTGAACCTCTGCATGGCTGTTTAGACAATTCAACATCGAATTCCATCAAGATTTAGTCTTGTGCGCACACCACGTCTACTCGTAGGCGCGTCAACATCGGATACTGTCCGGCGCATTGATCGCTGGGGCAGCTATCCCGCATCAGTTCTGCGACCGACCTTCGCCATCTTCTGTCGATCGCGATGTCTTCATTTCCACCTCCGCCCCCTGGTTGGGGACCTCCTCCTCCGCCTCCTCCACCTGGCCCCCCAGGCCCGCCCTCATCGCTCCCTCCGCCGCCTGCGATACCTGCACCCCCTCCTCCAGGCTATAGGCCACCAACGGATCCTCAGGTCGCCAAGTTCGAACAGAAGAAGAAAGAATGGCTTCGCATGCAGAGAAACCGATTCGGAGAGAAGCGAAAGGGCGGCTTTGTCGAGACACAAAAGGCTGATATGCCCCCAGAACATTTGCGGAAGATCGTCAAGGACATTGGCGATGTTTCGCAGAAGAAATACACAAGCGATAAGCGAAGCTACCTCGGTGCGCTGAAATTCATGCCACATGCGGTTTTGAAACTCCTCGAGAATATGCCCATGCCTTGGGAGTCCGCAAGAGAGGTCAAAGTTCTCTACCATGTCAACGGATGCTTGACGCTTGTTAATGAGATTCCCCGTGTGGTCGAACCTGTCTTTCAAGCGCAGTGGGCTTCGATGTGGGTAGTGATGCGAAAAGAGAAGAGTGACAGAAGACTGTTCAAGCGCATGAGGTTTCCCCCGTTTGATGACGAGGAGCCGCCGCTGTCTTGGTCTGAGAATATCGAAGACGTTGAGCCGTTGGAGCCTATTCAGATGGAACTGGACGAGGACGATGATGCCGCAGTCTACGAATGGTTCTACGACCACCGACCTCTTCTTGATACAACCCATGTCAATGGACCGAGCTACAAGACTTGGAACCTGTCTCTCCCTCAGCTGGCTAACCTTTATCGAATCAGTCGGCCCCTGATTTCAGAAGTGGTTGACAAAAACTACTTTTATCTCTTCGAGCTGAAGAGTTTCCTCACCGCAAAGGCACTCAATGTTGCTTTGCCTGGCGGTCCTCGCTTCGAGCCCTTGTACAAGGATATCGACCCAAATGACGAGGACTTTGGCGAGTTCAACGCGATTGATCGTATCATCTTCAGAAATCCCATTCGAACAGAATATCGTGTGGCTTTCCCATACCTTTACAACTCTTTACCAAGAAGTGTTGTGCTGTCATGGCACTCACACCCTCAGACTGTCTACAAGAGGTCAGAGGATCCAAGTATGCCAGCATTTTACTATGATCCAAGCATCAACCCGATTTCATCCCGCTCCGTGGCTCCCAAGAACCTCACAATCAGTCACGAAGATGAGTTGTTCGGGAAGGGAAACAATGAGGAGCCGGAGGATGAGGAATTCATCCTACCAGGTGGTGTCGAGCCTTTCCTCGCGGATGAAGAGCTTTATACAGATGAGACGTCCTCGGCTATCGAACTCTGGTGGGCACCGTTCCCCTTCAATCGCCGATCAGGACGCATGGTTCGAGCTCAGGATGTTCCACTCGTCAAGCAATGGTACCTTGAGCATTGCCCGCCGAAGCAGCCGGTCAAAGTCCGAGTCTCGTATCAGAAAATGCTAAAATCCTATGTGCTGAATGAGTTGCACAAGAAAAAACCCAAGGCGCTTCAGAGACAAAACCTGCTGAGGACACTAAAGCAGACCAAGTTCTTCCAGCAGACCACAATCGATTGGGTTGAGGCTGGTCTTCAAGTCTGTCGCCAGGGCTTTAACATGCTCAATCTTTTGATTCATCGCAAGAATCTGACATATCTTCATCTCGATTACAACTTCAACTTGAAGCCCGTCAAAACTCTTACCACAAAGGAGCGGAAGAAATCTCGATTCGGCAATGCGTTCCATTTAATGCGAGAGATTTTGCGTATGACGAAGCTTATTGTTGATGCCCAAGTGCAATATCGATTGGGCAATATCGATGCTTTCCAGTTAGCTGATGGTATCTTGTATGCTTTCAACCACGTTGGTCAGCTTACGGGTATGTACCGATACAAGTACAAGCTTATGCACCAGATCCGATCCTGCAAGGATCTCAAGCATCTAATCTACTACCGTTTCAATGCTGGCCCTGTCGGCAAAGGCCCAGGCTGCGGTTTCTGGGCACCAGCCTGGAGGGTTTGGCTCTTCTTCATGCGCGGTATCATCCCTCTTCTTGAACGATGGCTTGGCAATCTCTTGTCGCGTCAGTTCGAGGGTCGTCACAGCAAGGGTGTTGCCAAGACTGTCACAAAGCAACGTGTTGAGTCGCATTTCGATCTTGAACTGCGCGCGTCAGTCATGGCCGACCTCATGGACATGATGCCTGAAGGCATCAAGCAAAACAAGGTGAACACGGTACTTCAGCATCTCTCCGAAGCTTGGAGATGCTGGAAGAGCAACATCCCATGGAAGGTCCCAGGCTTGCCGGCCGCCATTGAGAACATTATCCTCCGTTACGTCAAGGCAAAGGCTGACTGGTGGATTTCGGTCGCCCACTACAACAGAGAGCGTATTCGAAGAGGCGCAACCGTAGACAAGACTGTTGCCAAGAAGAACGTTGGCCGTCTCACCCGTCTTTGGCTGAAGGCTGAACAAGAGCGACAGCACAACCACATGAAAGATGGCCCGTATGTTTCTTCGGAAGAAGCAGTTGCCATCTACACCACAACCGTTCACTGGCTTGAGTCCCGAAAGTTTTCGCCAATCCCCTTTCCCAGCGTCTCTTATAAGCATGATACTAAGATCCTGATCTTGGCTCTTGAGCGGCTCCGTGAAGCCTACTCCACCAAGGGCAGACTCAATCAGAGTCAGCGAGAGGAGTTGGCTCTCATTGAGCAGGCCTACGACAGCCCAGGAACCACTTTGGAGAGGATCAAGCGATTCTTGCTTACCCAGCGAGCTTTCAAGGAAGTTGGCATCGATATGAACGATAATTACAGCACCATCAACCCTGTGTACGATATCGAGCCCATTGAAAAGATCAGCGATGCCTATCTGGACCAATATCTTTGGTACCAAGCTGATCAAAGGCATCTGTTCCCAGCCTGGATCAAGCCATCAGACTCGGAAGTGCCTCCTCTGCTTACCTACAAGTGGGCTCAAGGTATCAACAATCTAGATAAGGTCTGGGAAACAGCCGATGGAGAGTGCAACGTAATGATCGAGACACAACTTTCGAAGGTCTACGAAAAGATTGAGCTAACCTTGCTCAACTCGCTGCTCCGATTGATCATGGATCACAACTTGGCAGACTACATCACTGCGAAGAATAACGTCACCCTGACCTACAAGGATATGAATCACGTAAATAGCTACGGCATGATTCGTGGTCTGCAGTTCTCTGCCTTCGTTTTCCAATACTATGGACTGATCCTTGATCTGCTCTTGTTGGGACCGCAGCGTGCCAGCGAAATTGCTGGGCCACCACAAGCACCAAACGACTTCCTCCAGTTCCGCGACAGGGAAACAGAGTCAAAGCACCCGATTCGTCTCTATACACGGTATATTGACAGGATCTGGGTTTTCCTCAGGTTCACGGCTGAGGAGTCACGAGACCTCATCCAGCGATTCTTGACCGAGCAGCCCGATCCCAACTTTGAGAACGTTATCGGATACAAGAGCAAGAAATGCTGGCCGAGGGACTCCCGCATGCGTTTGATGCGACACGATGTCAACTTAGGCCGTGCCGTATTCTGGGACCTAAAGAACCGGTTGCCGCGGTCAGTGACAACCATTGAATGGGATGACACATTCGCCAGTGTCTACAGCAGAGATAATCCTAACCTTCTATTTTCAATGTGTGGTTTCGAAGTCAGAATCTTGCCCAAGAGTCGAAACACGAACGATGAGTTCCCGGTCAAAGACAGCGTTTGGTCGCTCGTTGACAACACGACGAAAGAGAGGACTGCACATGCCTTCTTGCAAGTCACTGAGGAAGACATACAAAAGTTCAATAACAGGATCCGACAAATTCTGATGTCATCTGGCTCGACCACGTTTACCAAGATTGCAAACAAGTGGAACACTGCTCTTATTGCACTCTTCACCTACTATCGTGAGGCCGCAGTTTCCACTGTCAATCTGCTTGACACCATCGTGAAGTGTGAAACAAAGATTCAGACCCGTGTTAAAATCGGCTTGAACTCGAAGATGCCGTCCCGTTTCCCGCCAGCCGTGTTCTACACTCCAAAGGAGCTTGGAGGTTTAGGCATGATTTCTGGCTCCCACATTTTGATCCCTACTAGCGACAAGAGGTGGTCAAAGCAGACAGATGTCGGTGTCACCCATTACAGAGCGGGTATGTCTCATGATGAAGAGACCTTAATCCCGAACATCTTCCGGTACATCATTCCTTGGGAGGCGGAATTCATCGACTCTCAACGGGTATGGACCGAATACTCTCAGAAGAGGCTAGAAGCCAACCAGCAAAATCGCCGCCTGACCCTTGAAGATCTTGAAGACAGCTGGGATCGAGGTCTACCCCGTATCAATACCCTTTTTCAAAAGGATCGAAGCACCCTGAGTTTCGACAAGGGTTTCCGTGCTCGTGCTGAGTTTAAAATCTATCAGCTGATGAAGAACAATCCCTTCTGGTGGACGAGTCAGCGGCACGATGGCAAGTTGTGGAACTTGAATGCCTATCGAACTGATGTAATTCAAGCTCTTGGTGGTGTGGAGACCATCTTGGAGCACACACTGTTCAAGGCAACAGGATTTCCATCTTGGGAAGGTCTCTTCTGGGAGAAAGCCTCTGGATTCGAAGAGTCAATGAAATTCAAGAAGCTGACCAACGCTCAGCGATCCGGTCTGAACCAGATTCCTAATCGACGATTCACTCTCTGGTGGTCACCAACTATCAACCGTGCAAACGTCTACGTCGGTTTCCAAGTTCAGCTAGATCTAACTGGTATCTTCTTGCATGGCAAAATTCCCACTTTGAAGATCTCTCTGATCCAAATTTTCCGCGCTCACTTGTGGCAAAAGATCCACGAGTCCGTTGTCATGGATTTGTGTCAAGTTTTCGATCAAGAGCTTGAGTCTTTGGGCATTGAATCAGTTCAAAAAGAGACTATCCATCCTCGAAAGTCGTACAAGATGAACAGCTCGTGCGCCGATATCCAGCTATTTGCCAGTCATAAATGGAATGTTACACGTCCGTCAATGCTGTTTGACACAAAGGACACGATCGAGCCCACAACCACGAACAAGTTCTGGGTTGATGTCCAACTGCGTTACGGCGACTATGACTCTCACGACATTGAGCGATATGTCCGCGCAAAATATCTTGACTACACGACTGACAGCATGAGTCTGTACCCATCAGCCACTGGTCTAATGATCGGTATCGATCTTGCTTACAATTTGTACTCCGCTTACGGCCATTATTTCCCTGGTCTCAAAGTTCTCATCCAGCAAGCCATGGCCAAGGTCATGAAGGCCAATCCTGCCCTATACGTTTTGAGAGAACGTATCAGGAAGGGTCTGCAACTGTATGCTTCTGAGAGCAATCAGGAGTTCCTCAACTCCCAGAACTACTCAGAGCTCTTCAGCAACCAGACTCAGCTGTTCATTGACGATACCAATGTTTACCGTGTTACCATTCACAAGACTTTTGAGGGTAACTTGACAACGAAGCCTATCAACGGTGCTATTTTCATATTCAACCCTCGCACCGGACAGCTCTTCCTTAAGATCATTCACACAAGTGTATGGGCTGGTCAGAAGCGTCTTGGACAGCTTGCGAAGTGGAAGACAGCTGAAGAAGTTGCGGCGCTCATCCGGTCACTTCCTGTCGAGGAGCAACCGAAACAACTCATTGTCACACGTAAGGGTCTTCTTGATCCTCTAGAAGTCAACCTTCTTGACTTCCCCAACATCTCAATTCGAGCGTCCGAGCTACAGCTTCCCTTCCAAGCGGCAATGAAGGTTGAGAAGCTGGGAGATATGATCCTTCGTGCCACAGAGCCCCAGATGGTGCTTTTCAACCTTTACGATGAATGGCTGAAGAGTATTTCCTCGTACACGGCGTTCTCGCGTCTGGTCTTGATTCTTCGTGCGCTGCATGTCAATATGGACAAGACAAAACTTATCCTGAGACCTGACAAGACGGTTATCACTCAGGAACATCATATCTGGCCCACGCTCTCAGATGAGGACTGGATCAAGGTAGAGACACAACTTCGAGACCTGATTCTGAACGATTACGGGAAGAAAAATAACGTCAACGTCTCGAGCTTGACCAGCAGTGAAGTCCGTGATATCATTCTAGGCATGGAGATTTCAGCTCCTTCGATGCAGAGACAGCAGGCTGCGGAGATCGAGAAGCAGCAGCAGGAGCAGCAACAGCTTACTGCAGTCACTACCAAGACGCAGAACGTGCATGGCGAAGAGATCATTGTCACAACCACGTCTCAATTCGAGCAGCAGACTTTTGCATCGAAGACGGAATGGCGTACCCGGGCGATTGCGACATCCAACCTTCGCACCCGAGCAAACAATATCTATGTCTCCTCTGTCGACACTGATCTTGAGGATATTACATACGTTATGCCGAATAACGTCCTTAAGCGTTTCATCACAATCGCAGATCTTCGCGTGCAGGTTGCCGGCTACCTCTACGGATCGTCTCCTCCGGACAATGACCAGGTCAAGGAGATCAAGTGTATCGTCATGGTGCCACAGATTGGTGGCTTGCGCAATGTGCAGCTCCCTCATCAGCTGCCACAGCATGAATACCTGAAAGACATGGAGCCTCTGGGCATAATCCACACCATGTCTGGTAATGAGCTGCCATACATGTCGGCGGCGGATGTCACGGAGCATGCCCGGCTCCTGGATGCTCACCCAGAGTGGAATAGACAGAACACGTTGACAGTGACGGTGTCATTTACGCCAGGCAGCGTGTCACTGTCCGCGTGGGCGCTCACGCCGCAGGGATACAAGTGGGGTGCGGAAAACCGAGATCTACAGAGTGACCAGCCGCAAGGCTTCACGACGAGCATGGGTGAGAAGCGCAAGCTGCTCCTCAGTCCCCGGTATAGGGGCTTCTTCCTCATCCCCGAGACTGGCAAGTGGAATTACAGCTTCATGGGCTCGGCCTTCTCCGGCATGGAGAAGAAACCCGTGCACGTCAAGCTGGACACGCCCATGCCGTTTTACAGCGACCACCACCGGCCATTACATTTCCAGAACTTCGCCGAGCTGGAAGACATTGGAGTGGACAAGGACGACAATTTCGCATAAGCGACTAGTTGTGGGAGGATGAAATGATGAGAGGGGGCGGCTTACGATGTTGGGTGTGGGAAACACCGCGGCGGAGCGTGGTAGCGAGGAAACAATGCACGCAAGGCATCATTGAACAATGTTTGGTGTGTGCCCGGCATAAGGTCATCTTAGGTTGGTTTGATCAGCTCTCCGAGCCTATGGTATTCCCGTTTCGGTCCCTGCATTTCTATTTGAGCATAGGTCTGGATCTTTGGGTTAGTCTTGTCTTTGTAATGGAGCTGGCGTTTGCAGATGAACCCGGGCCGAGCATGTACCTTTTAGCAAAAAGGAAGAGTGTATCAATAGGTGAAATTGAGAAAGAATACCGTGAGGCACAGCAGACCCAGAGTCGTCGTCATGGACAGCATGTGTCATGGGTGATCCATGTGTGTACACCCTTTTTTGACAACGATCCATGCAAGAAACAGGAGGTAAGGAATGTGAATTCCCCTATTTGCTCCTTGTAGCAGCGAAAAGGGAGTTTGATTTGGAAGAGCTGCAAGCACTTCTCGGCACGAAAGGATGATCACGAACGGGTTCACCAAGGATACGGGACTGGACAACCAGGGGATGGTGGCAGGGGAGAGCTGATGTTTCTTGGTGTAGAGCTGCCTCGTGCCTGTTTACGGTTTCTTCGGACGAGGCTATGCAGGACGGCGGCGCGCCTCCCAATGTTAGGCATGCATGCGTTGCACAAGGATCTGGGTTTGTAGTCTAAGTGTAAGGGCCTGCAAGTGCGCTCTGCGGATATCTGTCGTCAATTGGGGTAGTCGTGTCATATGGCTGAATCAGCTGGGCGCGGGTAGGCAAGACCGCAGGTGGTGATCAGGCAAATTGCGGCCATCATGCATTCATGCACGGCGGGCTGGGGGTGGAGATCAGCCTCGTAAAGCCTGAATTTTTCCCATCTTTGCACACGTGGTCGTCCTGTCGATCAATGGGACGTTCTTAGCATTGTTCCTGGAGCTGAAGCAACGGAATTGCATCCTACCGCAGAGCGCGCAAAGGAAAATGGATGGTAGGGAACCGCGCGCGCATCATCGTCGCACAGAACAGAAGAGCCGCTGGCGACGAGATATGAGTCCCCACGGTCAAGATACATTTGGTACCTACGTGACCCCATGTCGTCAGTCCAGGAACCGTTTGCGGCTGACGAGGGGCACACCAGCTGACCAGATCCTCGGGAGGTGGCTTGTTCTGGGACCTTGCATGTTCGGGAGTGGATGGGGTGGGCGAGTGGATTTGACCACCCGGATATGGGGGCAGGATGATTGGTAACGACGCAGGCCAGGGCTGCCAGGGTAGTCCAAGGGGAAGCTTAAGCCACACTAGAAGCTTTGCATTGAGAAGCTGTCAGACTATTGAATGATGGCCGCTTTTCTGTCGCCGGAACGGTGGGAAATTTGGGCGTCCGTTCCCAAAGGATGGCACAACTCAGGCAGCTTAGTTTACGAGACAAGAAGAAACCAGAATGAAATGAGACGCATATTAAGATGAGGTAGCGGTGCCTGCAGAACAGAGATGAACAACTCCTCGCCCGGGGTCCAAAGAGATGGGTGCTCGTTCTCAGTTGGGCATGGGGCTGGTGTGGAGGACGAGGGCAAAATGAAGGGTCAGCTCAGCCTTCTAGAGCTTCTGGAAAACTGTCAAGGTCCGACGCTGCAGGGCGTCCGATGCTTCCTAGGTAGGCCATTGTTCAGCTCCTCCATTGAACCGCGACATTAAGGTCCTGGGTGGGTTATAGTACCGGTGTTGACCTGTCTGGGAGATGCTTATGAATTGCTGATTATGATGTGCCGGCTCATCTACACACTTTCCAGAGTCGTCGAAATCTTGGGACGAGCTTCGCGCAGAAGGCACGAGTACAATGGTACTACACGGCAGATACCCGTAGCCTGCTGCACAGAGTGCGCTGGCGGTGGTGCGAAGCTCAAACGATTGGGACGATCAGGAGGCGTCGGATCCGGTGGCCGAAGCGTTGCATCGTAGGCTCGCCTAAGTCTTGATCATACCTCTATTGTTCTTGGTGCGTGATGTGGATGAACATACAACACCCAGACTAACATCGGATGCGTGATGAGCATGCGACCAACGACTCGAATACCTTGAAAGGTTGAGCTTGCGTTTTTCTGTAGCGCAGCCACGGGGGACTGATAGTAATATTAAAGACGGATATTAACGAGAGAGGTAAGGAAGCCGGAGATCACCTTGGGCTTGTCATGCAAAGACATCTATATTACCATGTTAGTAGTTAGGTAGGCCAACCCTGAGTGTGGTGTGGATCGCAATGGGGCACCGGTCTTGTCATCCAGCTGGCGTCTACTCCACGAGCCTGGGCACCGCTGCGCTGGCGATATTCAGGGTTCTATCCTTGCGACGACGGATGACGCAGATGTATCCATTCATTCCAAGGCGACGGCACTCGACTGTCCCCGTCCCCATCTGGCCTCCGCGTCTCTTCCGCTGTTCGTCCCTGGAGGTGTGCCTGATGCTGGTGCTCGGCCGTTTTGTTCATTTCCAGGGCAGCAGACCGTCGAGTTAGTGTGCCAGACTAGACGGCATAGCAAGGCACAAGAGATCGCTGAGCATCTATTGTCGGTAGCTCGAATTACAGCAATGCAAAATCCGCATGGCGGCTCCGATCGACAGCGGATGCGAGGGTCATTTCCCGACTACCACTGCCACGTCTTCATAGAGAAGGTATGCTGGGGTCACAAGAATCGTAGTCGCCTGCCTCAGCGCCCACGGCGGCGAGTTGATTGGGTTAAGATGCTGAAGAAACGGGAAATTTACAAACGCCAAATTCGACGACAACGGACCGATAACACAGAAATTCGATGGGATGGTAATTAACGTCGACCGACCACATGGTGTACGGTACTGTCTTGGTTTGCCCTACCAAAGGCGCCTCGTACCTGCCTTTTTGCTGTGCTGGTAAAGTGAAATGGGCAGTTACCTCAGGTACCTTACCTTCCTGGCCCTTGCCTGCCCAGGTGCTTGAAGGGGTGGCTATTTTTGGCTAATCTACCTATGGAGAGGCAGGTACCTGCCTACTTCCATACTTTAAATAACGTTATCTCTTGTATGCCAGCAAGGTGGAAGGGAAGGCACTACCCACCTGCCCCTAGCTAGGCTCGCTAGGTACTGACTGGACAGCGGGGATCATCCATTGCACTGGCGCAAATCTCGCCGGTTTGGCCTGCATTGGTTCGCGATGGGGCGTCAATATTAGATGCAGTTGCCAATATCAATCCCAGACCACCGGACAAATTGGGGAAGTGTCGACGCACATGCCACACGCGGACACGCAAGCAGGTAGACTCAAGAGAGCTTCCAGTTTGGACTGAGGCACTTTCTGTTGAGACACATCAGAGATCACAGGTGCTTGCGCAGCGTATCATCTCTACCTAGGTACCATGTAATCGAGTTTCCGGGGAGAAGCCGTGTCTTCCTTACACGAGACAGTCCCCAATTTCTAGACCGGAGCAAGGCGACAGATGACCGGTAAGGAAGGCGCATGTGTGTGTAAGTCCATCGTGCCTGCAGTCTCCAGTCTCCAGTCTCCAGTCTGCAACCTGCAGGTGTGTGTCGTTGTTGTAAACTTTCGGTGACCGTAACCCCGGTCGCTCTTTCTATTTTTCTCTACCTGGCCTGACCATGCCCTACTCTAGGTTAAGTTGGCTATTTCCAACTCTCGTTTCTTTCCTCTCCTCTCCCTCTCCACTTCCACGTCCACCATGTCCACTGCATTCAATGCGATCGATGCTCGCAGGAGGGTACCATCCTCCCTACACGATACTCGCACGATAAGGTGCGGTGCAGCCAGTCCTGCCACAATTGCGGGCTTCAAGGTTGCCATGGAGGCCAGCTAGTCTCATGCTCACCCGCCCTGGTCTTGTCCAAAACACGCCTCATCAAACATCACCAGCTTGACGTTACCGTATGATGCGTCCCCCGTCTCGTTTCGTTACGAACATCGAGGGAACGAAACGGCTGCCCGGGGTTCCAAGGCTGTCTCCAGTCTGCGCCTCCCAAGCATTGAGGCAGTTGAGATCTAATCAAGCAGGACCAGCACGGCCACCCAAGTCCCAGCACCAGGTCATGAAGTCGATCGCTGGCTGGATGGATGGGTAGAGAGAAAGGCCCCCCTCCCTTCGTCGGCGCGCTAGAAGCAATTTCCATTCTTCTAGAAAACGAAATCACGGTAATTTTGAGTTTTGGTGGCAGCATAATTCAGCTTTTAATTGCCAGGTTCCATGAAACACGTTTCCATCATGCGCATCCCTGGCAGGCCCAACATGGCGCCCCGGCCCAGCCCACACCCCGTCATGCTCAACACCTCGCCAAGCGCGACGACTCACGAGCCACCATCCACCTCTCACTCACCATTTCACTCTGTTCTAGCATCCATCAAGGAGGGGAGGCTCCATAAGCTCCAAAATCCGCCGCACCGGCAATCATTACGGGCGCACTACCTTACCTTGCCATACCTTGCGAAGGTACCGTCCCTAGCCTGCTTGCCTACTTACCTACCTGTCATTGAGCTCTACACAGATCGCTCCGTCAATATCCATCTGCATTGAATCGCGCAATCTTGGAGTCGCCGACGAAGGCAAGGATCTCAACCCTGCGCCTCCACCGCACTTGACCTAGACTTGCCCTTCTCCTGGTCACCAGAGTGGTCTTTCTATTGACGACTCGGCAACAGTCGCCGAAAATAATTCCTAGCATCGACTTTTCGGTCCTCTAGTGAGATGAAAGAGATGCAAGAGACCGATCATTGAAGTACTCTCATCAAGAGACCCAATGTACCGGTGACAGTGGTCACGCCACAGCCGTTGCCTCAACACGAAAGTTGCTTTCAAGTGAAGAAGATGATTATTATTTTACTCCCAATGAGCCATGAACGGAGTCGTTCAAGGGCATTACCAGCGTGCTGCATGCTAATGGTGATGACAATGAGCATTCTGCTCTGGCTG